ACCAGGTGCCGCCCCAAGCATGTGCTTGGGTGCCTGGTGCCGGCCCTGTTCATGGTAGGGTGTGGGGAATAGACTGTCCACACTCAACAGCACCATCCACTGCAAGTGCTGCAGATATAGGAGGGAATGCTGCTTGAAACACTAACTGCCCTTTGCTTCCCCTTCCTGCGGGCTACTGCACAACAGTAGGGAGACTCAGCCAGAGGCAAACTAGAAGACTCCTGCCTCTCTGGATCTGTCAGCCCCAGCAAACTCTAGAGAGCCCCATAAATCTCCCCTGGAGCAGGGAACCTCTCTGGCCCCCTCATGTTGGGGCTTTCACTCTGGGAAAGGCTATATGGGCAATAGTCTATGTACTTCTCTGACCAATTATAAATCCCTTCTGCTTTTGAGGAAACTAAAAGCTGAGGTCAGCAAATGGGATTAAGTGTAAAATTCAACCCAAACAGCATTGCACACACACCTCATTTTCAAACACTAACCAGCTAAAGCTCACAGCACCTCTCTTATGGAGAAAAGGAAACTGGTGTAGCGAAGGCCAGAGATTCTACCAGCAGGGATGGCAGGTTTGTAGAAATTTTGGTGGTGCCCAGAACCCACCCCAACTCTGCCCCCCACCTGCCCAAGGCTCTGGGAGGGAGTTTGGGTGGGGGAGGAGATCTGGGGTGCAGGCCCTAGGCAGGGGATTGGGGTGCAGGGTGCAGGCTCTGGGAGGGAGTTTAGGGATGGGAGTGGGTGTGGAGGGAGGGGGTGCAGGTTCTGGGAGGGAGTTTGGGGAAGGGAGGGGGTGCAGGGGTGTGGGGAGAGGGCTGTGGCTGCAGATGAGGGATTTGGGGTGTGGGATGGGCTCAGGGCGAGAGTAGGAGTGTGGAAGGTGAGGGCTCTGTCTGGGGCTGGGGGGTTTGGGGTGTTAGAGAGGCTCAGGGCTGGGGCAGAGGGTTGGAGTGCAGGGGGATGAGGGCTCTGGCTGGGACTGGGGATAAAGTGTTTGGGGTGCTGGAGGGGCTCAGGGCTCGGGCAGAGGATTGAGGGTGCGGTGTGCGGGTGAAAGCTCTGACTGGGGGTGTGGGCTCTGGGGTGGGGCAGGGCTGGGGATGAGTTTGGGGTGCAGGCAGGCTGCTCCAGGACGGGGGCCAGAGAGGAGGACTCCCCCCAGCCCTTTCCCTGCCGGTAGCAGCAAGCTCTGGGGGAGGAACCCCCCTTTCCCGCCCCCCCCAGCAGGACACTCACCCCCACCACTGTCACTGCATGTGCTCCTAGAGCCCCTCTCAGATCCAGGAATCTCCCTCGCCTCCCCCGTGGTGGGTGCTGGGGGGTGCTGCGTGCGCCTCCTTCCCTGCTGTTGCCCCTGACTGTAGCCTCACTGGGGGTGAGGGATGGGGCTGCCCCTTGCCTAGCGTGGGGCAGAAGCAGTGACTGCGGGCGGGGGGGAGGGGGGCCTGTGCTGGTAGAGGGTCTCGCCGGAAAAGGGAAGGGTCTGAGGGGGAAGGGCAGGCTCAGAGTCAGTCTGCCCTGGCAGTAGAGATTGGGGGGCATTAGGACCCTGCGGCAGCAGTTGCTGCAGGGAGGCTGCATGGGAGAGACAGGGACGCTCTGCTCCAGGGGCTCCAGGAAGGCAAGAGGGGACCGGGGAACACTCAGGGGAGGCGGCAGGTGGGACCGGGGGGGGACATCCGGCCCCAAATATTGGTGGAGCTGGGCTCCTGGGCTCTGAATATTGCTGGTGCCCGAGCTGGTGCCAATGTCTACCAGAGCCACATGGCAAGTGTCAGGGCTGGAATTAGAAGTCAAGGTCTTGGACCCCAGTCCTATGCTTTGTTCACCAGCTGTGACACTCACCGCCCTGCACAGTTGAGGGGAAGGGGAATGGGGCTTTCCAGGTCAGAGCACTGCACAGGGAGGAAAGGGGAACAAGGCCTGTCACAGAGAACACTGCCCGGGAAGGGTGGGGGAGAAGAGGTTTTCACTGTCTGTTTTACATATTTTGAGATTTAAAGTTATTTTGCTTTTATATTTAAAAAAAACACACCTATTGCCAGAACCAGAATGAAGGGCCGCCTCCTGCCAAATCTTGATGTGCATCTGTCACTCCAGGCCCCCAGCAAAGGCTGCAGCAGGAATCCTGAAACAAAAATGACTCATAAGTAATGGACATTTCTGTTACCATCCTGTTTCACCAAGACTTCATAATGGGAAGTTTAAAAGGCAGGAATTGCATCATTAAGGCAGAATGTGACCTTCTCAATCAATAGCAGTCATCTATGCCCAGATTTTGAAAGGTATTAGGCATTGCTGTGCTTGGTGTTGCTATGCCTAATTGATTTAGGAACCTAAATCTTATTTTCAAAAGGGACATAGGCACTTGAAATTTTGGCTCCTAAGTGCCTACATGACTTTGAAAATGAGATTTAGGCTCCTTATCAGTTAAGTGTTGCAATGCTGAGTACAGCAAGACCTAAATACCGTAAAAAATCTGGACCCTAGGCTTTTGCACTATTTACTTCTTTGAATTTCCTGGAGTGGAAGCTGTAAACTGTGGTACATTATGTAATGCTCAGCTGGTACCAGTCTGACACAATGCAATCCAATCCACTTCAAAATAACAGTGGCGTTTGACAAAAAGTGTAAAATGAATGGGCAATTATTTTATCCCGTGAAGTGCTCTGTTCCGTATGAACAACTTTACTGCCTTAAACCGCAACTTCCTTATGAGGTTAGCCTGGGCTGTAGCAGTAAGTCAATGTGTAAATCTGAATGTTGCCTGGATTATCCTGGGCCAGGTAGGGATTCAGTGACTGAGGAAAGGAATTATTTCTTCTCTTCTTCTGTAATCAGTTTTAAAAGTACAAAGAGACAGAAGGATGTTACCCAAGTTGTGGAATAATACTTTCTGCTACTCTTCCTGTATAGAAGAATACACCTTTCACCCCATGTCTGTTCAGAGGAATATGCCACAACCCCAACAGAAAGCAAAACTCTGGACTCAGAAGTAGATTTACTTCATCCCTGGGATGCCTTGTTTAACTCAAAGCTACCCCCACCTTCCCACCCAGCTAGCTGACAGGCCCAGAGAGGTTTAGTCTCCATATTCTCCCCCTCTTTCTGTTGAGTCAATAGAAGTTAGTTCCTTGACTTTTTTTAAATTAATTTTTAAATATACAAATGGAGTAGCCAAAATTCTGGAAGTATGTTGGCTGCAAATAAAAAATAGACTCAGAAATCAGTAATGAGAAATCCCTCTTTGGTCACATCTCGCCCTCCTCAGCCAGGGCCAGTGAGGTATATTCTCCATTTTGTTCTCTAAAATTATGGGTAGTGGTTCCAACTTCCACATCACATGTGTGAAACCTGTAAAGTAAATTAAATAGCAAAAAAAAGAAAGAACTCAGCGTCAAACTAATCCCTTGTGAAGTGGAAAAGCAGGAGGGTAAAATTAGCGTAAAAAAAATTACCTAGTATTGGGCTGATAAACCACACCATTCCATACAACTGATCCGGCAGCCCCATCTGAAGCAACACAGGAGTCACATAGGCTGTTTCCATGGCATAGCTGAACTCAATCCCAAAGAGAATACACCCATTAAACAGCAGTTCTAGGAAAGATCTCTGAGGGTGGAGATCCCCAAAGTCAATCAGATCAATAGGGCATGGTGTATTTGGGGGTGGTGGAGGGGAGGGACGGATGTGTTTTCTCCTCTTTGGGTGTCTTTTAAAGTTGTTGGCACGATGACTGATGTGGCGAGTGACAGATCCAGAATAGCCTGAGATCTGTGACCTCCAGAATTCCTGACAAGACAGGCTGGGGAAAAGCACATCGCTGGGAGGGGTTGCTGCAGCTGAAGGGATCATCGTGGATATTCCTGGGAGGAAAAAAGCTGAGATTCAGTATTGCTATGAAAGAGAAATGTCACCTGATTTTAGCTGCTGAAGTTCTAGCCCATTTCTGGTCATGGAGCATATTGAATGCGTCAGCCTTTCACAGAACATAAGATTTTAATGTAGAAAATGAATGCTGGTCGATTCAAGAACTTTCTGTGCTAATAACCTAATAGGACACACACTGGCCCCTAGGGGCCTTTCCCTCTCATAATGCCCTTGCAGGTCACTACAGTTCATGGATGACATGGAACCAATATTGTGAGAGGGAAGGAAGCTAGAGTGCCAGTGATGAAGGACAAGTTCCCAGTTCGATCAGGTGCAGTAGAGCTATTTGCTGTGGTTATCATGAAAGCTAAGAGGCTGTTCATTTCCTCCGCCCCGGCATTTGCAGCAGGCCCACGCTGCTGCCTTCCTTAGATCTCTCTCTCTCACACACATGCACACACGCTGTTTGAAAGGCATTTTTATTTTAAATTAAGAAAAACAAAAAGAGAGGACAAAAGTACCATTCATCAGAGTCCAGGATCTCTTTTGCCTCACAAACTGACAGTGTGATATACAGCTTCAGTACAGAGAAAATAAAATCATAGCAGAAACATAGATAGACCACGGTTTATTAATCTAAGTTTATTTTTGAGACGGGACTATGTGTCGATTATGACAGAATGCACCTGTTTGACATCTCCTCTTCCAGTTCCTCAACTTCATTTTGAGATTCACCTTTTACAGCAACATTTTAATTTACTTCTTCCACCCAGGAAAGCCCATAATCATATTTTTTCACATAGTAATTGGCAATCAGCTTCAGTTTCAGCTCTTTGGGTTTCAGTGAGAAGAGGAAGAAAGGGAGAGTGAAGGACCCACCACCGAATTGCCGCCGAAGACCCTGGAGAGGGCTGTGGCTGGGAAAAGCTGGGCTGATTGGGGAAGCAGCCACAGCTGTGGCCAGCTCAATCAGGGCCCAGCTGGCCCTGATAAGAGGGCTATGGGCCAGAAGCTGAGGGAGTCTCTCTCCAGCTCTGGAGGAACAGTTATAACTCTTAGTTACATTTCACTTTTAATTTTAAAGATTTTTTTTTTAACTGGAAATTTTTTAGTGTTACAAATGTAATAAGTGTCTTACCTTTTAGAACCAAGCCATTGTCCTGTCAACCAGGCTCATGAATCGTCAGAAGGATGCATGCATGAACATTATATACATAAGCTCTTAGTACCCTCATTAACCAAAACGGGATTTTTTAAAAAAAATATTAGAAAAAGAATCTTCTCTTGGACTAAGACTTTGAGATTAATTTTCAAAGCACTGAATGTGCAACTAATCTTAATTTTCACATGAAAATGTCAGTCTAGAACTCTGTGCCATGGGCTGAAAATTTCCCTTTGCTTCTAGTTTCAGCCAAGAATTAAATCTACTATCTGTGATATAGCAATGGAAATGCGGAGAAACCATCACTCTAGTGGAGGAGACAAAGGCAAATGAGTCTAACAGCAGATTTGCCCAGACTTCAGAGTTCATTCATTTTTTTGTTTATCGTGTAAGACAAGCTTTGAATTGCAAATATAAAATATATATTTCCCAGCACCTTGTATAAGATATACAAGGGTTCTTGATGCTTTCCCCAAATATTTTGAAATAACAAGGTTTGTTGATCAAAATGTATGAATAAATAAACAGATTGCTAGTAAAATCCATTCTGTCACCCTGTCTATTGTCAGGAAGGCATTTTAGAGCCCAGGTGACCTATTCACCAACATGAAGCATTTGAAGCGAAAACCACAAATCATATCAGCTCTTGTGAAATTTTCACAGTAATGGCCATCCTCCATTTATACCAAAGTCCATGTCTTTCATTTTTATAAAATGAAAGTCAGGACATTGTCTTCTGAAGGCTCATTCTCTCTGGATTTCCCACAGCAGGAGAAGTATTATCCAAGGAACTGCACAGTGATCTGACTGCTAATTGCAGAAAGAGATGCAACTAAGAACAAAAGGTATCATCCTCTCCCTCCCATCCTCCTCTAAAATGTCACCCCATATACAGTATTTGTAAACCTTCCTGTCAAAGGGCCCCAGAGCAAATGCCCAGAGCACTAAGAGAGAATGGATTGGATCCCAGAAAGCATTGCATTTGTTCAGTATGAAATAGTTACCTGTAATTACAGATGGAGGAACATCCTTTTTCAAATGCTTATCTATGCCTGGATTATCAGCGGTACAGGTTCCTAGTCACTGCTGCTGTGGCTGAATCCTCTCTCCCTGCATAAGGAGCCTGCCTTCTGGCTGGGGAGGATGGTGATGTCATCACTACTCTCGCTCTCCTTTCTCCCCAGCCTGCTGGGGCTCTGCAGAAAGCATCAGCTTTTCTCTGTACCTCAGCTATTGTTTCTTAAAGCGGCAGGCTGCAAGAACAAGGTGCCTGTATTGCATAACAATAGGACAAACTAAGAGGAGAAATACCTGCATTCTCTTATTGTTAAATATTTCCAGTCTTCATAAGAGAATTTTTTACCCCACAAAGGCTTTGTAATCAAGTATGATTGTTTTTACTAGGAGGCTGCTGGTGTGTTAACTGCTGTTTCAATTTAATAGTTTATTATATCAAAGGCTTCTAAAGTAAGAGTTGTATATTTGATAAGAAATCTATATAAACAAAATTACTCACTGCATTAATCACATGGCTTTTTAAGTGTCTCTTTGAAGTTACCCTCTACTTAGATTTACCACCTTGCTGATCAACTGGTTTTAAAATGTCCTAAAAACAAATGACTGGCAATTTTAACTCGTGTGCAACAAGATTTTCAGAAGTGCTGTCCATTTACAGCAGGGGTAGGCAACCTATGGCACACGTGCCGAAGGCGACACCCGAGCTGATTTTCAGTGGCACTCACATTGCCCGGGTCCTGGCCACCGGTCCAGGGGGCTCTGCATTTTAATTTAATTTTAAATGAAGCTTCTTAAACATTTTAAAAACCTTATTTACTTTACATACAACAATAGTTTAGTTCTGTATTATAGACTTGTAGAAAGAGACCTTCTAAAAACATTAAAAGGTATTACTGGCAGGCGAAACCTTAAATTAGAGTGAATAAATGAAGACTCGGCACACCACTTCTGAAAGGTTGCCGACCCCTGATTTACAGTAATACAGATAAGCTTCCTTTAGCGAGCCTCTCTGAAAACGTTTGACACCTAAGACGACCAAGGATGTTTCAGAGGGCACTTGGGTTGTTGTGGTCCTGTGCCTACAGAGGTGTAATTGGTTTCAGAATTTGGCAGATATTGCTATATTCACTAGGTGCCAATGGACAGAGTTTTCCTACACTTCTCTGGATTCCCAGCACTCACCAGGGACTCATGACAGGCCTGTAGAATAAAACCAGGGTTAAGTGGGGAAGAATCTGCAAACATCCTAAAAGCATACAACAGACATCAGATGTTCAAGGGGCTTCGGTGGGAGGGGCAAAAACCTTTCTTCAATTTTAATATAACTACTTATGATTATTGAAGGAAAAAAGTTGCCCAGGAAGGAATGACCCAAGGAAAGGGGCTAATTTAGCATTCTTTCACCAGTTAATCCACCTTTTTATGGAAATGAAATAACACATAAGCAAAAAATGTTTGCCAACATCAACTCAACTCTGAACCCTGATCTCAATCCTCAATTGAGGGCACCCAGAATGACAGATTATGGTAAATTAAAACATTTGATCTAAGTGTGGAACATGCGTTAGGAAGGGGAGAAGGAAGAAAAGGGAAGCTCTAAGGAAAAGAAATAGTTGGGCAGAAACAGATGCAACTATAACCAGGGAGGAATATGAATCCTCAACATTACACAGGCCTCCAGAAAGATACTGTGTATGACCAGTCCTAAGCAATACATGCTCTGGAAATTTTTCAAAGTTGGTTTGAAATGTTGTATGGAGGAATTCAAAGATAGCGTCAATTGCAGCTGAGGAAGAGGTGCATAACTCTTCCAGATATATTGAGAATTTCTGAACAACATTAAGCAGAAATTTATTTCACTCTCTGTGATTGGGCAGAAGGAAATTGATCAGAAGGAAAATTAATTATTATAAAACTCTTAACTGTGACAAGCAGGCATAGTACACCCCTATCTGCAGCTGCTAGTAGCTGCAAAATGAAGTACTTCTATTTAAATTCAGTATGTCTGAAGTAGAACACGTATGTCATGGGAGGTCTTGTATGCCCAGAGATAGTCCCTCAGGTAACTTGGGCCATTCTCGGGGAGGGCTTTGAAGAGGAGTGAAACCTTGAATCTAACGATTCAAAGGGGAGAGAGGTTTAGCAAAGAGAGCAGAACACCATGTTAATGTGTTTTCAGTGGCCTGTCTTTCTGAGCAGACAAGCTGCTATGTTCTGAATGAACTTGAGCTGTTTTTAAGGTTGGCACTTTCATTCTTAGACATAGAGTGTGACAGATATAGCAGTTTCCTGCCACTATCTTTGGGAAAGCTTACTGTATTAGTTTAGGTGTAAGCAGTCAGAATGAGCTCTCCCCTGACATCTGGTGGTGAGCTGTGGAAAAGGATTTCAGGGGCTGATCTTGTTTGCATAGACCCTGCCTAGCATGATGGACTGCTTGCTCAAATGGTCACTTTGGCTGCTGTGGGATCCCCGGTCTCTTTGTTATTGGGGCAGGAGTAATGGAGGGTTGTTATCCTGGTTATGTGAATAAAGGACAGTAGAACTATACTTGGCATTTTATGAAGGAGGGACTCGCCCTCAACTAAGTAACACTCGCTAGGCAAGGGACATGGGTTCCAAGACACAGTAAATTGAGAGGGTGGGGACAAACATGTATAGTGAGTGGGTGTCTGAAATATCACTTTTATCTTCTTTTTCTCCACTGTGCAATAACAGGGCTAATTTTGACTCCATTAAGAGTCTTCGTGAATTCAGCTCTGCAGCATGTAATGATACCTAGGTCTAAGCATTAGACCTACTTTGGGCTAATGGTGTACCAGCACTGAGGCTCCCCTACTATCAGCTAAAAATCACTGAGAGCTGAAGTTTCTAAGAGCAGAGATTGCTGAGAGCTGTTAAGGAGGGAGCCTGAAGACAAGTTGGTGAGTAGGATGGCTAGTGGAGAGGAGTGGCTAGTGGTGAAGACTGCAGCAGAACCCCATAGAGAGGTGTGGCAATTGTCAACCTGAGCAGCAGAGCTCCCTATATCTCCCCCCACTTCAACCCAGGCTGGGAGGTAAACTCTGCAGAGGAACTTCTGAACTCTGGGGGCTGCACTGATCAAAGGACAAACTGTGGGAGGGGTGACTGTGCAGTTGCTGAACTTAAGACCCTGAGGGGGAAAGGACACTGCCAAACTTACTTGGGGATGGGTCTTTTGCTCATGGTTTGTGTTATGAATCCTGTTTGTGGTGGTTCCCCAACATAATGCCGCATTGTTTCCCTCCTTTATTAAAAGGCTTTTGTTACACTCAGACTCCGTGCTTGTGAGAGGGGAAGTATTGCCTCTTAGAGGCGCCCAGGGGGGTGGTATGTAATTGTCCCAGGTCACTGTGATGGGGGCTTGAGCCGGTTTTGCATTGTGTTATTGAAATGGAACCCCTAGATACTGAACCCGGCCCTTGTTGCTGCCAACTCTGACAGGCAGAAGGGTTGCATGTGTATCATTGTGGGCTAGGGACTGTACATAATTCTGTGCGGGAGGGTGACCACAGTTCCTCTAGGACAGTGGTTCCCAAACTTGTTCTGTCGCTTGTGCAGGGAAAGCCCCTGGCGAGCCGGGCCGGTTTGTGTACCTGCCGCATCCGCAGGTTTGGCCAATCGGAGCTGCAGGAAGCGGCGCGGGCCGAGGGATGTGCTGACCGCCGCTTCCAGCAGCTCCCATTGGCCTGGAGCAGCGAACCACGGCCACTGGGAGCCGCGATCGGCCGAACCTGGGGACGCAGCAGGTAAACAAACCGGCCCGGCCTGCCAGGGGCTTTCCCTGCACAAGCGGAGGAACAAGTTTGGGAACCACTGCTCTAGGAACTAAGAGCAGTGTGGAGTTGTCCCCACACTTGCCCTGAAAGAGTTAAGGCAGCCAGAGAGGCCAATTAGCCTATTACTTGGCAAGGGTGGGGGGGAGGAGATTAAGACTGCAAGAGAAGCTTTAATTAAAAGAAGCTGTGCAGGAACAGGTGGCACATATAGAGGCCAGGAAACTGGCACCAGAGGTGCTGGGAAAGACTGCAGTCACTCTCTGGGAAGGAGGAGGAGTGTTGTAGGCTGTAGAGGCGAGTAGCCTGCAGTTGCTCCCTGGGAGGCAGGAGTGGTGAAGCTGGTAGACCCAGAGAAGCAAGGGCAAGCCAGAAGGTTAGGAAAGGTCTTGGAGAAATGTAGCAAGGTACAGAGTGGAAGAGACCTTGGCTGCTGACTAGAGGGTCCCTGAGCTGGAACCTGGAGTAGAGGGTGGGCCCGGGTTCCCCAATCAGTTACTGGAGAAGTGGCACAGACAGTGCAGTGCATAGGAAGACTACCTGAGCCTGTTTTGGAGAAGAGATTCTCTTTCCCCCCACCCAGGAAACCACAATAGTGACCTGGCTGGAGGGCTGAGTGACAAAGGGGCTGCAGCAGCTCCTGGAATGAGGCTATGTCTACACTACAGAATTAGGTCGGATTTATAGAAGCCGGTTTTATAGAAACCGGTTGTATGCAGCCGATTGTGTGTGTCCCCACCTAAAATGCTCTAAGTGCATGAAGTCGGCGGACCGCGTCCACAGTACCGAGGCTAGCGTCGACTTCCGGCGCATTGCACTATGGTACCTATCCCACAGTTCCCGGAGCCTCCGGCGCCCATTGGAATTATGGGTTGAGATCGCAATGCCCGGATGATGCAAAGCAGTGCCGCGAGGGGTTCTGGGTACATTGCGTCAGGCCCCTCCCCCGCCGTCACAGCAACGGCAGACAATAGATTCGCGCCTTTTTACCTGGGTTACCTGTGCAGACAACATACCACGCCAAGCATTGAGCCCGCTCAGCTCAGCTCACCGTCACCATATCTCTTCCGGGTGCCGGCAAACGTGGGACTGCATTGCTAAACAGCAGCAGCAGCTTACTGCCTTTTGGCGGTAGACGGTGCAGCATGACTGGTAGCCTTCATTGGCGATCTGGGTGCTGGCAGCTGTGGGGCTGGCAGCCGTAGGGCTGCATTGCACCAGCCCCTTGCCTTTTGGTAGAAGATGGTATATTACAACTGGTAACCGTCGTCATCGTACTGCAGTGGCTGTCGATCATGGGCACCCGGGCAGACAATGATGGTTATCAGTCGTAGTATGCTATTTTCTGCCAAGTGCCCAATATTGTCTGCTAAGCACCCAGAAGAGGCCGAGGGCTATCTGGGTGCTGGCAGACATGGGGCTGGCAGCCGTGGGGCTGCATTGCACCAGCCCCCTTGCCTTGATGATGATGGTTATCAGATGTATTATTCGCAGGATGGGGCAACATTGCTATACAGCAGCAACCCCTTGCCTTTTGGGCAGAAGATAGTATATTACGACTGGTATCCATCGTTGTCATACTGCAGTGGGCATCAGATCGTGCAATAGACCTGAAGGCTTACTGCCAAGCGCCCAGTATTTGCTGCCAAGCACCCAGAAAATGCCAAGGGCTATCAGTCATGCTGCGCCGTCGTCTTAAGATGTAAAAAATAGATTTATTCTCCATTCATTTGCTTCCCCCCTCCCTCCTGCTAAACCCAGGCTTTTGAGTTCAATCTTTGGGGGGGGGGCATTCTGTGTGACAGTTGTTTGTGTTTCTCCCTGATGCAAAGCCACCTTTCTTGATTTTAATTCCCT